GGGGGGGGGGTTAGCTTGATATATCAATCTTTAAGGCACGCAGCCCCTCCCACCACAACATTGCTAAAGCAAAGAAGAACTCAGCTAGCATGCTAGCTTTCGTGATTAGTGTTTATCGAGCTGATCTCGTAGACCTTTTTTTGTTGTTATACTGCATCTCTTGATGCATGAGCATGTGAGGGGAACAGTATATCCGGACACTACTTCTCACTCATCCAGGAAGACGCAGCTGTTAGCGACTATCGGTATGCCCTGTTTTCAACTAATTTCTAAGAGCCCAGATGATGGAGGAGCAGCACAATCAGCAAAAGGGTTACTGGTAAAATGAGGGATTCCAACCAGTATACCCCCTACGAGACTGCAACACGCATCCTATGGTGTCCCCTTAGCACAGTAACCCAGCAGTGAAGGTCACCCCCCCCGTACTGAAACGGTGTAACAATTAACTGACTCCATGCTGCGTTCCGTTTTCCCGCATTGTGGATGGGGGGGGGTAAACTCCATGTACAACCACGGCACGACGAAAAGACGCACGAACACCAGCCACAAACCCCTGCAAGTGGAGGGAACAGCAAAAGCAAGGAGGAATGGACGCAAATGAGTGTATGTGGATGATGGGCAAAAATGTCAAGTAAGATCGTGAACATTGCAGTGAGTGAGCCAGCGAGCGAGGGAGTGAATCGGCTGCAACGGCACGTAAGGACAACCTCCCATCCCTTTAGGAGAGCTGAGTGTGTGAGGGTTCGTGAGGGTATGTGAGGGTTGAGTTGGTGTGAGGGAGGAGGAGGAGGAGGAGGAGGAGGAGGAGGAGGAGGAGGAGGCAAACGGGATGCACAGTGAAAGTAGGAACTCCAACAGTAACAAAGATGCACAAATATCATCCATGCTCACATGAGGAAGCTCATCTTCTCCACTGGGGCAGCCAAATCGTTGATCCGCACAAAAGTCAGCTCCGCCACCTCGTCTCCAAAGCGCCGTGCACGCAGGTGCGAACTGGATTGCAGGTCCGAAAGGGGTTCCCTCCCGCTTGATCCCCCGAAAGCAGAAGCCACTGGTTGACTGCGTGTTATCCTTTCACACGCACCCACCTCTTCATGCTGAAAAAAACTGGAGGATGACAGCATCCGAAATTCTCAACCCTGGATACTAATCTTTCCACTCGCAACCGGCGGTGCAAGGCGGTGCACCCAGCGGTGCCAGGCGATGGAAGTTAGTTCAGCTTCCCGGGCGGAACAACTGGGGCGAAATCCGGATGACATGACAACGTCTAGAGTCTAGATTGTTGATCCAGGTTGATCCACAAAACCATTGTGAAACCTCCGGTATCGAGGTTAAACCATCCTGGCAAAGGGGCCTTATTCGTTTACGGCCAAAATGATTCAACATGTTAGGCCAAGAAAATATGAACAAAACAAAGACCAGAAATGAACAGCCGACCTTCAACACAAACCGTTGTCGTCAGTAATTTACCAAGGAACCAAGCGATTCGTGTCAGATGCCAGCAAAATCTCCTGACATGTTGGGGACCATGGCGACTGCAGGATCACGCTCACACAGTTCTATTGACCCCAAATGAGATAGCAATATATAACACAACTGGATTGGGAACAATTTGGGTATTTGGGAACCACAGTATCGGATCAAACTCCAAGTAAGAGCCAAGAATTCAAACGCCAAGTCTATAATTGATGCTAACGTTGTTGCTGAAAGAAATGAGACTCAACTTGAGGTCTGGAGACACCCATGAATCATCTTTGGACATCCCACTGCAAAAGGAACCAGCTATCCAGAAACTGTCTGCTCAGGATAAATGGCCACTATGACTGCCCCAAGTTCCGAACCCTAGTTTAGATGTTCGACTACTGTAACAATTGTCCAAAGCGCAGTTGAACTTGAATAGCACGAGCTTGATGGATCAGGAAAACCACAAAGCCTTTGCAACTTTAGTCTTTATCTCAATCTGGTCTTGACCAATGAAGTCTACACGGAAAAAACAAAGCCTGGCCTTGAAGAAACACCAAGCCGAGACATTATGTTGAGCCAACCAGAACCAACCCCAACACACAACAACACCCAGGGTTGAACCATAATTTGTGAAGTCATCCGCCAGAAATGGCAATTTGTATCCATTTGTCTTGTACCCATGGACCCGTGCCCCACTTCATCTCCCCCCACTTTTCCACCTCTGCATGTCTCGCCTTGACTGAGCGGTAGAGAGGCAAAAGCTTCGAGCCAAAGATCTTCCCACAGATTGACCACACAAACACAGGCAATACAAAACAGGTAAAACAGGTTGAAGCACTCGATCGAGTGAACTCTCTTTTCAAGGGCAAACATCCAGAAACCTGGATGTTACTGGATAAGGTAAACAACCTGGTTGATCATGGTTGATCCATTCCAAGGCCTTCCCAGTGACCTTTTAAGATCCCAGAATAAGGTCACCTTCTTTCAAAAGGCCACTTACAAATCCTGAAGAGGTCACTGGGAAGGTTGGGAAGGTCCTGGTTGTGACGTGGCATGCTGACCATTGAAGAACGCCTTCAGTTGCTTCGTTCGCTTCATTCCTTCGTTCTACTTAACTCGGATCACTGGACCCCCTTGGCATTGGGACAGCGATGCGCCGTCGCCGTCACGGGGATGCGCCGTACCCGGGTACGGCGTCGTAGCCGTCCGTGACACGGGCGCACCACTTGGAGTCTGGTGTCTTGTGGGTCCCCCCCCTCCTTGGCCAGAAGAACATCGATGAGAGCTTTGGCCGGCACCACGTTGTAGTGACCTCTAGCGGGGCCGCCCGCTGCGGGCAAAGCGGTCAATCGGTCGAGTCTTGACCGCAGTGAAAGGTGGACGGTGGATGCTGGTGGGATCTGAGCGGAGTAAAAAATCACACAAAACACCAAGCCCAACGTTGTAACGTGATGCTGTGCGCTGTAAGGGTGAAGAAAATTCGAGAGTCCCACGGCATCTACGACTCCACGGCATCTACGACTCTACGACTCTACTCTGAGTGGCGCTGTGGCTCAAGGATGATGAAAAGTCTGCATGTTTGATGCCACTACAAAATCATCTCCTACCTGGTTACCTGTTCCACAGGCCTTGGTCAAGCTTGCAATGGCATGACATGACTAAGCGCCGCGGCGTTGCCATGCTTGCATGCATTTACCGACCTGCGGGATCCAAATTCGTTTGAGCACTTCGCATGTGCAACAGCTCAGCCTCTCGCGAGCTTGTTGAGATATAGGCGCAATCTAATCGCAAGAGTTGGCCAGCACTAACCCCTTTAGAACGCCATTTGGGAAGGTGTACCTGAAATGAATCTGCTTGGAATACCAGCCCAAAATAGCCCCAAGTGCTTGAACATGTGTGAGCCCAGCTAAATGTCTTGAGCTGCCACGTTCTCCATTTGTGGCCGACGTCCCATGCTTTTACGACGTCCCACGTGGAGCTTCCACACTTGGACCACCCACCAACCCACGCCCACATGTTGAGCATATTTGAGCATGCCATGCTGCGTGAGGCCAAAGGTTCCACGATGGTGAAGTTCCTCACGGTCTTTGACCTCGAACTCACGGGCGACTGGGGAACTCCCCGAACCCACTTGGTGATTCCTAGCTTCCACTCCTGCCCCGCGGGACATTCCCTGTGCCCGGGGGCGGAAAGACTGACGTGCTGCCGACAGCCCACCAACAAAGTCTAGCGCAGTGCGACTTAGTCTACGGCATCCCTCTGTCTCTCGCTCTCCCTCTTCATGAGATTAGCCATAGGCTCAAGCCAGCCACTTTGGGGGGGAGCATTTTTTTGAACACATCTGCACATCCTCGAGCCAGTATCTATCTCCTAGGTGCAATCCCCACTCTTTTGGAGAGCTTTGGAGTAGCGAGTCTCTCGCCGCAAGCCTCACAAAACCCCGAGGAAGCGACCAAGCGATACTTGTGCCAAGTTGCGAATGGAACGTTTTTGGAGTGGCGTCACCTAAACATCTTGGAGGAAGAAGGTCGAAATGAAGCAAATCCATATCTATATCTTAGCTTGACATCATGTAGGCACAACCATCTCAAACATGTAGGCACAACTTGACGAAGGCATCACCCTCAGGTGGTCACGCCAACATCTTGCTAGTACTGCCGTGGTGGGATATGGTGGGCGAAAACATTGCTTGAAACGAGTGCCGGCATCTGCAGGATACCATCCAACAAACGAAGCAAACAGTGGGTGCTTGGATCCTCTACAAGCCAAGGGTTTTCCAAGGTTTTCCACTCCCATGTTTGTTGGTGGAAAGGCCGTGGCTGTTTCATTCAGTCGTAAAATCTCAAATTGTTTAAAGCAAAGTCACCTGATCTTGCTTCGAGTAGTGCGAACCGGAGGGGTCGTACGACCAGCAGAAAAACCCGACGGTTTCAGAGTTCGCAACGGCAGAAGAACCGGCACCGTCCCGAGTTCAGAACTATCGAACCATCCGAGTCATCGGCGACATGACGGTTGAACCCAAGCGCAGGTCAAACCTCCTCACGGAACTCCTTCCGTCTTACCTACGATAGCTCATGATGCTCATGATGCCAATGATAGCTCCCGACCCAGCACGCGACACGCCCCAGACCTATGCCCATCAGGTTACATCAGGTTAGAGCAGAGCCAGGTGATCAACCATCATGCTGAGACCTGATCAACCCTTTATTGAACTCTTTCTCCAGCCGAGATTCTTCCTTTGTTTGGGTCAGGCCATTCCCAGACTGGATGCCCAAATTGCTCAAACTCGTCCACCTCTACTTCCACGTCCTGTGGGACTCGACGGATATTCTAGGATATTCATGGATATTCTAGGTAGGCAAATCCCAATTGGATGTACGCCTACGTGCGAGTGATAAGTAGGCTTTTCCACTACAAAATCTCCTGTATTCACATGTTGCAGCATGTTAGAACCATATGCCATAAACATTTCTAGTATGAGAGGGTACCGAAAGGCCCAGTGACGGAGAGTGCTTTTGGGGTGGAAGAAGTTCAATTCCATTGATTAGTATCTCAGCATTTAGGTGGTCACTAGCTGGGCGCACCAACACCACATTCTACAGGAGCTGAACCCAAATGCAATCGCACAATGACCCGCCGTGCTCTCCTCCACGGTTTCTTGTCGTCGTGGATCTGGCATCTCGCCCCTGAAAAACGTGGCTGCAGGGTTTCTTCCCGCTGTCTAGTTGATCGGGCTTGCTTGACAGAATGAAACATCTTATATAGTTATATAAAAAGCAATAATCCTGGTGACAATATATTCATCCGGGATGTCCGAGCAAAAGGGGTTTTAGCAAGGTTGCCAAGGTCCAGTTTTCTTCCTGACTGAGCAGGTTCTGATGACGCTTTTCCAGGGTTCAACTGGTCATCCTGTGGTTGTCAACGCCAAAGCCCAAAAGTGCTATTGCACGCTATTGCACTACTTGGCACACACTTTAAACTCTATTTGTCAGGTGGTCCACACTCTCTTGAGCAAGAAGTGTATTTCACTGAGGCCCGAACACATCGCTTCAAACCGTTATTCAAGCAACACCAGGCTCCGTCACCGCACGCAAGGGAGAAACAAGAATGACATGGCGTGGTGATGCATCTATTTAGGGGTACTCAACAAAGTCCTGCTGGGAAGCTCTTCTGGCATTCCTAATTTCCAGGTGGGGTAAGAAGGGCGCGGCTGTATATAAACCTGAGGTCGGGGTTACTGGTGGAGGGTTATTCAAAGCCCCAGTCGGATCAGTGATAGAACACCATGCAGCTTCGTCCACCTGTTGTGTCCGGTGTGTCCCTCTGCATCTGGTAGTAATCCCCACACGTTCCCGCCATGGCTCGATTGATAGAAGTCGTTGTCCTGTTCACTCACCTCATCATCGAACCTTGGGGAAGGAGGTCCCCAGCATTCCGCTGGTTCTTCCATCACCGTCATCAGGTTTGCTGAGCTATAGAGCTTATGAAGAAAACGCCATGACATGAACTTGCCTCTGCTCCACCGCCTGACCAGTCATCTGTTACGCTAATTGCAGTGTTCTTCCACATTCATATTTATGAGACATGCTAGCCGGGAGGATCCTGACGGCCACCTGGGGTGGTTGAGTCACAAACCCTGGCCCAAATGTAGTTTCCGGATGTTTCCGGCCGCATGGCCTCATCGAGGGAACCACATAGTGACTTAGTGCTTCACCTGGCGGTAGAAACACGGCCATGTTGGGACACAGCGCACCACACAGCACACTGTGGCTGCCGGACTGTGGCGCTCGGGGTCCACTCACCCGGTCGCGTCGCGTCGTTACACCCGGCGGCTCCAGGTGGATGAAGTCCGCCAAGAGATTCACCTCGAAACGAAGCGACGGAACCCGAGGCAACCGAACCCGACGTAAACCGGTGAAGTAAACCGGTGTGGAGGAACCACTCGTGCACTTGAAACGTATATTAATAGTTGGCGTCCATAATATGCAACACATGTTAATAAAAAAACGTTAATTAAATCATGACAGTACTGGTGCCATACAACCCATTCATCGCTATTCCACTCACCTCTCCACTTGAGAGCCTCATCTTCGGAGTTCCAAATTCTCAGTCTCTTAGGGGGAACATGATCCCGACAAGACATGCTGAGACCGTCGTCGTCGTATTTCAACCAAAAGAAAAACCGGACCGAACCCTCGGCCTCGGATCAATCAATCGAAAAGACAAACCTCGCAACTTGCGGCGGATGAAGCATTGATGGATTCACCTGACGCGTTGACACCTGTGCGTTGACACACACTGTGGTCTGCGAGGCCACCATGCCTAAGGCACTTCGCAAAGAAAACAAACGAGTAGCGGCGTAACGTAACCCCAAACACTCCCAGTCACTCGAATCTAAATACGTATACATTGGGGTGATTTAATTTAGGGCGGGTGGTATCAGGGGTCCATGATAGGGAAATGTGCGGAGTGTTTGGGTAAAACATGTACCAAGGACTTTGCATTGATTGAGGAGTACGGTCTGTGGAAACCCTGATCATTTTTGCAATGGGAGTGGTCACATCGGCAGTTTGGCTTGCCAATGTTTGATCATGTTTCATCCCTGAATCGTTTCTATTCCAAAATCACTTCCGCAAAATATAATCAACTGAGAATCGCGCCCTGATATCCCATCCTCAAATCCCCTTCTACCCTTTCTTCCATATGTCTCGAAGACACCAACCCCCTGGCCACGTGGCAGCGTTTCACGAGCCGTTTCACGAGCCGCGCCGAGGGGCGAAGCTGTTCATGTCCTCCACGCTGTAGCGCGTCAAACCCAACACGGTCACCGCTTCATGAAGGCCTCGGTGAAACCGAACGACCGTGGTCTTTCGACCCGGTGTGACTGGACCGGTGCGGGTCCAGTTTGGGACAAGAAGAAACTGGAGATAGGGGTGGACAACAGGTGAAACACAAGGGGTTCACAAACAAATCTGTCAACAGAATCTGTATAGATTGTATGGATCCGGTGGTTGTCTGTGTTTCGGTTTTCTTCGAACAATGCACTTCTTACGGACCGGTGAAGGACTCTCTCGCGAGTGAACTCGGGGATTCTGGTCACCTTTGTGCTTCATCCAAAGCCGCAGAATCCATTCACAACCTGCAATAGTCAGTGTCACAATAGTCGGACCAGGCATTCGACATCTATGCACGCGTACCACTTTGGACTGGAACCTTTGCCAGCCGGTCGGTGAGGGTGACAGCTGGATCCAACGGCGTAATTGACCTTACTGGGCACAACATATTGGAACTGGTTTTCCCGGAATTCATTGTATTTTGTTGAACATGTTTGATATTTTATATCTTAATCTGTTTGTGCGAAATGCAGATTTCCTGGTGAGCAGCGGTATGTGAACCTCGGAGTGCACTTTCGAAAGCACGGAGCGCTGATCTCAACATCGGATTATGTCAAATGGCAAAAGCCTGGTAGCCTGGTAGCCCTTAGCATCCAACCTTGGGTGGCTCACAGATGTACTATGTTGAAGTGGTCGCGTTCCTTCTTTAAGTTTATCTAGGCAGCGCTTTGTAAACCTCGCTGATCTAACCATTCAAGTCTTTTGTGAGATGGCCAATGCCTGGTGACCCTTAGCAGCCGCCGTTATGGGGTTGCGGTGGTCTGATGCGTAACCGCTGGTGAAAGATTCCAAAAAGGTATCTATATGTCAAGTTTTTGTTTAGTTATAATTCTCCGCTGGTGGCAGCGCAGCACTCTGCGAATTTCAATGACAAATAAATATGGAGGGTGAGGGGCTTTGTAAGTTGGAACAAAAGTTGTAGAAGGCACGGCGCTTAGTGATCTGAGTGACTTAGTGTAGCTATCGCATCACAAAGTAAACCTCGGCGTCCTGATCTTAGCATCCGCATCATATGTGAGAGGGCAAAAGCCGGGGGGGCCCTTAGCATCCACTGTTGTGGGGTAGTGCTGGCCTTGAGTCTATATGCCTTCTATTACTGCAACACGTGGTGAAACACTAGAGCTTTGCATATGAAAGACTCACTACGCTCCAAAAACACGAGAACAATGATTAAAACAAAAAAACAACCAAAAGCAGCAGCAGGAAAACCCAACCAACCAAAAAAAAAGGGCACAAAAAAGCAGCAAGAGGTTAAAGAACGAGGATTCACAAAGAAGCAGTGAAAAGCAAGGAAAAGAAACACACGCACAGAAAAGCAGGAAAAGCAAATAAGCAGTGAGAAGCAAGGAAAAGCAAAACAAGCGCAGCAAAACAAAACAAGAAACAATCAAACAAACAGCGAAAAACAATAGATACCCCTCCCCTTATGATTAAATGATGTGTTACAGGGGATGGTTTTGATTTTTTAGCTATCAAGGCCGATCTTACTCGACGGATGTTCTCTCTTTCTCTCTCTCTCTCTATGTGTAATATGCCTATACTTCCCAAACCCGAGCGCTTCATCGCTTCCCAAACCTTTGCGCTTGCTTTTCTCACCAAGCCGCCCTTGCCGGACACCAACTTCGAGGTAGACAAGGCTCCTATGAGTCGAAGCATGTGAATCCTGCAGTCCTTCAGTTACTGACGTAGCGAACCTTGTTACTAGTAGTAAGGCCAGGAGCCCCTAGTAGCTTCTTGTTGTATACAGTAACATAATAGCGATGCCCTTTGCTACTAGTAGCGATTCCCTTTCTCACCCAAAAAAGGCAAAGTCCAAAAACGCTCAGAAAAGTCACGAACGATCGGAATTTGCCACCACCTCCACCTCCAGGACCCGCAAGACATCGCGTGCGTTTCAGTCCTAAACGCAGTCGCAAGCGCCGCTTCCTCGGACGACGCTTGCTGATGCCCCAAAGAAACAGGAAGATCAGGAAGAACGTCATGAACAAACGACTCGTCCACTTTCCAAGATAGGCACCGTGATGAGTCCTATCGAAATAATCAAGAATGATCCTCTTCATGAATTCTAAGTGTGCCCCGTTCGTGAATCTAGATGATGCTCATTTGATGTTCCATGCTTTTGAGTCTACATGACTGGCACCGGCATCATTCACGCCCACCTGGGACAATCCACTTGGTCATTACCTACAAACACAGTGGGCCTCTTGCAGAGTTCCGGTGACCCCCTGGCCTAATCACAGCACCAATGACGCTCCGATCAACGACATCGCCGGATCCGCCATGCCCGGTCGTGCCCGACGGTCGTGCCCGACTCGTCCGAGCATCACTTTGGCGGTCTCGGCTTCGCTCATGTCCGCGAGGCCGCTGCGCAGCAAGGCGTTGACGTCCCCATGCACTTCCCCTGCGAGGGATCCATGCATCCATGGCACGGTATGCGAAGGGGTGCAACAAGGAAAGGGTGTTTGGGATTGCTGTAGCACTTTGATGCGTTTGAGGTGGCGCAGTTGTGAACATCAAAGATTGCAGCCATCCAACAAACACGTCAAACCAAATTTGCCCTCCTTAAAACAATAGCAGTTGTCTCGATGGCAATGCAGTCAAATAGCAATTCGTAACTTCTTACACGTATTTACACATCCAGCAGTTGACTCATCCAGGATGGCAATGCAGTCAAGCAACCAAATATCAATGCACTTCTTACACATATTTACACATCATGGAACATGGGCTGCGCTGCTCCCTATCATACGACGTGTTGCGACAGCGTGTCCCGACCCACTTTGCACCATGTCTCGATGCGCCACAGCAAAACTTTCCGGTTCTGGCCCACTACGCCATACTACCATACCAGCCATTGGGTCAAAGCTACCAGTATTGCGCCTCAAACAGCCTTGCGAACGCCCAAGCCCTACAAGTCCCTACAAACCCGCATTATTTAACTCAAAAGCTATTCATTATTGTATAATTCATATTGATGCTGTATAGGATAAACATGGAAAAATACAATATGAATAACTATGATAAATCAAATGTTTGGCTACGGTTTCTTGCTCATTTGCGGTCTATCTCATATGACGTGTCCATCTCAGGGAAGTGTGGATGTAGTGTTTTTCGGGTAACCATTGTTTTCAAAGCAAGGTAAATGAAGGTTGAGGTGCAGTTATGAGATTGCCGCTGCCCATGCAGCCATTTTTGACAAGGGAAGGAGAGTTGGAGGCTCCTGGCCGGTTAAAGGCCCAGTGAGCTTCAGGGAGAGGATTCGATTGCAAAATATGACTCGCTCCTGGATGATCAATGTGCGCTTTGAGGAACCAGTACGAAGTTATGATCCAAAATATTGGAAGAACACCGTGTTGGACCAATTTGGGACTCATTCAGGTGAAGTCAAGTGAGAGTGTTTAAGTCCACAGGATTTTGAACTGTTCTGAGGTACTTGATTGCAATGATAGATGTTAGATTCTGTTAGATGTGATGTAATATTTTAACCGGTGCAGTAGCCCGCCCTATGGCCTGACCACTTTGTGTTGTTTCTTGGGGCTAAAGGATCTAAAGGACAGTAAATTGAGCATTGATTTGCCTTTGTTCATTCGTTCAAGTCGAACAAATGGCTAAGGCCGGAGGCTTTGGTCTGGAGTGGGGATCCACGTGTATGAGGCCATCGAGGTCTTTGGAGGATGTGGCTCCATTGCGAAGGCTTTTGGTGTGAGTTGTGTTTTTGATGTCCGCAGAGACAGTAATCACAACATTCACACTGCAGCTGGTTTACTGAGAGTCTGTGAGATGGTGGTGGAGACCAAAGCTGGCGGCCTGGTCATGATAGAACCCACGTGTTCCAGCTTCATGAGGTTTGTCACAGCTCACACCACCAAACGAAGTGAGGACTGGTGTGGTGAAACTACCGCATGATGGAAGAGCTGATGGCTGATGAGTAGAGTCTAGATGCCCCAGCAGCTTTAAGTTATTGTTGTGGCAACAACAGTGCCAGTGATATCAGGAGCAAAGAAGCTATTAGGGGCTCCTGGCCTTACTACTAGGAGCAATGTTCGTTACTAGGAGCTCCTGGCATCGCTACTAGGAGCATGGACGCTACTAGAAGCTTTTGGCGTCGGTTCCTTTTGTGATGTCTGGCAATGCCACGGTTGAGTGCGTTGCTGAAGTCCTCATCCCGATGGCTCCGTAGTTGTTTCTGTGGTACTTGAACCCTGCGACTAGTTTGCATTCCAGATGCAGAGTATACAGTCCTTTGCAAGTTTCGTGGAAAACACACAAAATGTATCTGTTGAACTTGTTGCTTCCGCTTCTTCCAGCAGCAAGCGTGCTTGTTTGACAGAAGCGGCTGCCAAAGCGCAGGTCATTGCGTGGCTTTGGGATTGGTGGAGCTCAGAGGGTTCAAAATGAGTTTGTTGTAGGGTTTGTTTGTTGATGATGGTGAGTTTGTTTTTGTGATCATCCATTGATCCATTGCTGATATGATGGTTGAACAATTGCTTATGTGGATGATGGATTTCTTGTAGCATGTGGATGAACAATTGCTCATGGGGTAGGAGGACTCACATGACAGGGGTGAGCTTGTGAAAAAAAGAGGCTGAGACAGGCACATGAAGTGGAGAAGACAAGCGGAAGTGTATACAAACCCTTGAATAAACTATGCTCCAGCGGGCAGTCCCTTTGAAAACCCAATACTCACTGCGTCCCAGTCACCCTTTGGTTTTGGTCCAGCTGACCTCTCGGCAACGACGTTCAAATCCCCAGCGGTTCGGTCCCCAGTCCCCGGTGAACGGGGGAACCAGCCTGAGTTCACTGACTCGATCGATGGAGTGTGGTACGGGTCACCAGCTTCACGTTCACCTGTGAAACGTCCGGGTTCGACTGAAAAAAACATGGCATTTTGGGTCGGTTTGTCAGTGGTGAGGGCATGTGAGGGCTAGTCCCAACTCATTAACGACATGGTCAGGCAGGATCTTTTGTGAGAGCTGCGCTGGACAAAATCACTTTGTCACCAGTCTCCGCAGCCTTCCCTGGGAGACTTCAATGCAAGTCCTCCTGACTCGTTCCTCGGTTGAGTGGGCTCGTCCCGAGAGTTGGAGCGGACCCGGATCTCCGACTCTCGAATGGTCAAGCTGGGTGAGCGTGTCATGTATCTATCCATATATCTGGCTGTCTATCTACCTTATATTCATCCATACACTTGGAAACATGTGGATCGTTGTGGGTCACTTCGACGATCACTTCGACTGCATCAGCCTAAAGGTGGATCGCAGTCGAAGAAAGCGGAACTGGGGTATCAATGCCAAGCATCCACGGTGCTGCAACTTCAGAAGGCAAACTCGATGCCTTTCTGGACATGGTTCGTCTCAGGCTGCTACCTGGTCTCAGCTCAAGTCGCGCTGCGCGACGACCAGTCGACAGGACCTTTGGAAATTGGAGCCGTGTGAATGCATTCAGATAGTCTGTAAGTGACCTCTTCAGGGACTAAGTGACCTCATTCTGGGATCTCAAGTTCGGTCACAAACTGAAGGTCCTGGTGCAGTGACAGGGCTTTGAACAAACAGTCACAATGGGCTTGTCAAACAATGTCAAACAATCCCTTGGCACGCATCCAGAGAGCAAATCTGCATCGTATCCGAATGTGAGCTTGTAATTGCGATGCTGCCAGGCTGCTGGCTGAAACGCTCTTGCTGTCATCGTTCCGAGCATGACAAATCTCGTGGGCCTGCGTATCTGCTCAGCTGGCGTGAGGTGAAAAGGGTCTGAAAAGGGTCTGGTCGGTCGGGCCGTCGTCGTTCAAGGGTCATCGTAGCTCGTGAAAAACACATATGGATAATCTATCATATAGATCCTGAACACAGGGTCATGTTCTTCTTCTCCGAGCTCATATTGTTTGGATCTTTTTGTGGCCGACTTGAGACCACATACACTGGTCCATGTAGTCCGTGTGGTGAGTGTCAGGTTTAGGTGAGAAAGCATTTTGGTGGACTTCCTTGAATCCAAAACGGCTGATTTTCCAGGAGGCGTGAGGTTGAGTCTGATTTTCCCATGATAGGTTGACCATTGACTGAATGTTCATGCCATGTGCCAAATGCCTCGAGAGGCCTACTTACTTACTTGGTATGATCTTTACGTTAGCTGGAGCCGCCTCTTCGCAATATGGCCACCATACCCTGCCCTTCGCTCGCGAACCAACCAGCCATTTGGGAGAACAAAAGGCTACCCTCAGCTCGTTCGTGTTGGGTATATCTCATCACAACAAACAATGGATAATGCCTGGATGTGCCTGGTAAGTAAAAAACTGATAAAACATTATCGGCTAGGCCCTGGCCTCTCCTGGATAAACATGTAAACGTTGCAAAGGCGTTCGGCGTTCCGCCTCCATGGACCGGTCCAAGCTCCGGAAGGGACCCACGCTTTTTCATGCCACTCTTGGAAACCACGCTGTGAACATGCATCCCTCTGAAGATTCTTGGGCTGATGATGTGTATCTTCAGTGTTTGGGTATAAAGCACGAGGGTTGATTAGTTTGAACTTCTCCACACCGGCACGATGGACACAAACACCCACATGGACATACCTGGACCCCCCAAAAGCCATTGCTTCGACCGTCGGACCATCGTCCAAGCCAGCCGCCAGCACGACTCATAGGTGAACTTGGGATGCACTGTTGAGCGATCTGCGTGGGGCTTCATCCGTCTACTCTACCCATTCTGAACCTACAGTATGCACCACAACCGAGGGCTGCCTCCAACAATTGGCGCCGCATCTCCACCAGCAGTGTGTCAACCATAGCTGCGTAGTCCATGGCGGGGAACGTTCCACTCGCCAAGAATGGGACAGCTTGCGCTCAGCACGGGCAACCGGGAAAGCCAAGGAGTTGCCAAGTCAAAGAGGTGCATATATATATATATATATAGTCATGCAAACTTTCGTGCAATTATGTCAAATTTCAAGCTTATATGGTATAACACTAGCGCAGGATCGCCTTTTGCCCGGTCGGGGTAGGGTGGTGATCTACAGTTGGCTTTGCCTATCTTTGCCTGTCTTGCGTTGCCTGCCGTCGGCGGCATGTTTTCGCCCCGATGTGGTGCAGCCTATTATAATGCCGGGACCTTCACCCCACTAAAGCATGCGTCTATGTAATACCTGCCGGTCATTGGGATTCGTTTGGATTTGTGATTTAGATTGATTTCGTCATTCTGAGCCATTCTGAGCCACTTCTCGTCCTGTCAACTTGAGCCACAGCGCAACTTCTTGTCAGTGGTGTCACACCTCACCGATGCATGTATCCACAAACCACAACAAACACAAACTAGTATTTCACAAAGAACGTGCAAACGTGGCCTCTTCGTTCAACCGTAGTGCCGTGGTGCCATTGCAACCAGAAAACAACTAGCGCCCTTTCTGCGACCTCAACTAGCTGATGGTCTTCGATGACCTGCTGGGCTAAAACGAACTTCCATATATATATATATATATATAGAGAGAGAGAATAAATATATATATATATAGAGATGCCTTAGGTGCCACCACCATCTCACACTATCATCACTATCGGAACTTGGCGGAGCACTTCATTTGGTTTGCTTGAGAACTGCATGTTTTGTTTTACTTTATCGGTCCTTAGGTTTCTTTGTGGGGCCCTTCGTTCGTTCTCGGTTCGACGAATTGGTTCGTGATGGAGCTACAGTGTCTGGTTCTACGGGGCTGGCCACTTCCAAAAAGACGACACTATCATCACTATCACTACGGGGGCCCAGAAGTTGGGAGCACTAGTGGGGCCGGCGGACCACTATGGAGTTTCACGTCTGAGCGTCCAGCTGCCGGCTTCCTCTTCCACAATGGGACTGACCTTGGCTTCAACAAGAATTATATACTGGAACAATGTCCAACAAAACATCTATCAAAATCATCAAATACTGTATGGCAAGCAGCTGGGATTAGTCCCCAAATTTGACCTCTCGCTTCAATCTTACCTTCATAAAGCTCCCGAACAAAATGGCTCGACCGACAGGACCCCTGTCAATACTCCTCGATGTGATCGACACAAAAAAACAAATGGCCACAGGATCCGGTGGACGCTGGGGGGGAAGCGTCCTTGCTCCTAGTAGCAAGGCCAGGAGCCCCTAGTAGCTTCGTGTTACTAGTAGCTTCTTGCTACTAGTAGCGATGCCAGGAGCCCCTAGTAGCGTCCTTGCTCCTAGCAAAGTACGGCCAGGTGGACGCTGCCATTTTCTGCCGGTTCCAAACGCAGTCAATCCCACCTTTCATCCCCAAAAGGCCAACCAGTTCCGTCCATCCCGTCGCCTGGATCCCGTCGCCTCCTGCGTTGAAGGTGGCACTAGGTAAAGCTGTGTCAAGCATCGCTTGATTGGTGGGTGCACATGGAGGACAAAGCAGTGGGGATTGGTCGATTTTCCCTGCGGCCGATCCTATTTGGGGGGGGGCACCAGGAGGCACACTGATTGCCGACGCCCGCGTCGTAGCGCAGCGACATGCTGAATGCAAAGCATTGCAGGCTCTGCATGATCCTCCTTATCAATTATAGTACTGGGGTCGGGTGAGTTAGGTCTTTGTGTATCCAAGGGTTAGGAGTTGTCCAGGAAGAACTCATGAGGCCAAATGGAACCCCGCCATTTCAGAACAGCCAGATGTTCCATGATGACACAGGACTATATAACATACCTCAGGATACCACCAAGTCCCAACTCATGCTGCATGCACATCTTCAAAGACACCATTTCACAAAACGGCAAACCAAAAGAAACAAAATCTGCCACAAAGAATCGCCATTTCAAAAAAACAAGTGCACATGTCTGCAAAAACAATGAGTTAGGAAGAATCATGAAGAACCCCTGCCATAAATCACACACATCTTCCCAACTCATGAACGAATGGATTTCCATTAGGACCACAAGTCCTATCTCATGTGTTGGCATCCGGCCACACATGCCCTGGGCACGCCATGTTTGTCAATTAAAAGACCTGAAGAGCATTCCGTTTTGCCTTGCTAAGCTGCGTAGCCTAGGACTTTTGTGGACCAAAAACTGTTCAAAGTACTTTTCTTCATACGTAAGATAGCACATCAATTTTTGGCCAACGTCCGACAAATCCTAAGTCACTGGTTGGTACGACATGTAATTACTGCAGGTCTCAACCTGGCTTTCGCAGCTATAGGACAAAGCCATGTGTTGCACAGCTAGGCAGCTTCCAATGCCACAACATGGTGCAAGCTACGTGGGCGCTGGTTAAGGGTAGGTTGAGTTGAGGACCAACGAGGAAAGTGGTGGGGAGGAGGTTGATCATGATCCAAAAATCAACGTCTCAATTGCTCACACCTCACCATTGGATAGAGCCGCAACCGGAATGTTCATTGTTTATTTGGGTTTTCCGCACCCCCTTCTTGACTCACACCCCACACCTTAAGCATCTGGCAAACATGCCGGACCCTATACCCTGACCACCCTGACCGGCCTCTAACGATCCATGTCGTGTGGTGTACCTCAATGGCATTTTTCGGCTCGCCCAGCGAATCAATTTGTGGGAGGGTCACGCAAATAGCGCTCTGAGGATGCAAATGGATCCCAAAAGGATAAAAGAGCGAATCACCTGGTGCAACTGATTGGCTTTGCATGGCAGTTTTCGGCCGATTGACCGATAGATCTAAATTGTATAGTTGGCAAGACAATGGACTGACTCGAGGACACAAGCAATTGCATAGTTAAAATAATCCTCGCATGCATGTATAATATTGTATATATAGATACAGTATGTACATATATAATTGCTATATATTAAAACTTCTTTGCAATGGACTCCGGTTTGCCTATGGACAGTGCATTTCATGCCACATCGCTTTACCTATGTCAATGTTTTGGATACAGTGGCTACAATATCTTGGAAGTCGCCGAGTTTGTGGGTTGACTCGCGGGGTCACCGCCTACAAAGGATGGTTCGTAAGCCGCAGCGACAAAAGGCCTATATATATATATATATAAGTACCTATAGCCTATAGTCGTCAAATACTTGTTCAAGGGCTGGTGTCCAGAGTGCAACTCTTGAAAAAAGTACGGAGTGCAACTGTTCCTCTACTAACGATCATCTTACAGCTGTACCTCCAGGAAACATAATCCTCCAAGTGGAAAACAGCGACGGTTCATTGAATGCCCTGCCTTGCCCGCCAAGGTGCTTCTGCGCAAGCGCTTTCATTAAGGGGTGCGAGATGTTGATGCCCTGGTCGTGCACGGCCGCGGGCGGGACATTCAGCAGCGTCGGGGTCATCTTGTAGCCTTTCCTGTCATACAGTAACCGCTACAGGTTTGAAGCTCAGGTGAAGAGTCTTGTCACAGCAGTCATAGCAAATCCATTACATGTCTCCATCTGCGCCCCAACTGTGGCAACATCCGGCAAGTGACTTCACCCTGCGCAAGCTGCAGGAGCCAAAATTGATTGGGTCTGTCCTATTACCTGTAACAGTGGATGATAATGGTTGGTGAAGGCCATGTTCAAAAATAGTGATTTGCTTGTTTACTGACTGTTACAGGTAAGAACAAACATACCCAAAGAATTGATTTGTTCATTGTAATCTAAGACTGGTCTTTCGTGCTTGGTGCCAGTGTCAAGCATCGTCTATGATCAATTAATGTAATTGTTTAAGGCAAGTAATATGGACCCGAGTGTGCCCCTGATGTTCCCAAAGGCAAGAAAACATCACCACGAAGACGCTGTGCAAGTGGGCCACTCAAACGAAGCCGAGAAGTCAGCCACATAGTCACCAGGTGGATGAAAGATCCCTACCAGCACTGCCTAAGCAGGACCTGAGTAGAAAGTCCGCTGCACGGCCCACGTCTACCAGCCTGGATCTCTGCCACCGCCAAAGCCGCCTTCCGGGCATACTGCTGCACCTGGCTGGAGGATCCAGCAAAGGACAAGAATGCCAAAGAAGGAGCTGCACAGCTCCAAACATAAGGAACCTATGTACATAATATTGAATCATGCTCTTTCTTTAGGTACTTGCCAAAGAGCTGCGGAGGCATGAACAACTGAGGGCATGGATGCTTGGCCAGAAAAGGAGTCGGGGGCCCAGTCACATCAGCATGCGTGGCGTCAAGCAAAGTCATCCACAAAGTCCCAGCTCCAAGGCTTCACTGTGGGTCGCAACGTTTTGGGACCTTGCTTTTGAGACGGAGGACGCTTATAGGACAGCGTCTGATCACACTGTGGGCCCAAACCAACCTGAGAGGAGACAGTCTCCCATCGGTATGGTTCCGGTGACATGAACTGCACAGCAGAAGGGGTAGTCGAACGGCAACACTGTTTTCTAGAAAACACAGGATAGACAAACCACCAGTTTGTATGCATGGTGAACACACTCTCACACTAGGCTATGGGCTTATATATAATTTATATATAGATGGGCTTAGGCTTAGTGTATATAATACAGTCCAGCTGCCTCTTCATCTTCCTCGCCAGGATTTTCGAACACAGAAACTCACCGTCACCGGCCAAGGCCCGATAGACCCCCCCGAAGAACTGCTGATTTCCCTTACTTAGATTGGAACTGGCGGCCTCGTCGCTGAAGGCGAAGGTGTCCAGGATCTGTCGAAGATTGCCCAAAGATCTGAGCATGTTTGAAGCGACCAGCGAAACACATCATACTGCGATGTGAATGTCAGAGTCTTATGCCTTTTCTGGAGTTTGGCTGAGGTCAAAAACGGGCACTGCTTGAGAAAGAATAAGGATCGTCTTTGCTGTATATTTTTCCGCCATCTTGACTTCTGCTTACCATAGATTCACTATAGCCGAGTCAACGAGGCACCTGCCCTCTTTCGACAGCTGTCTTATTTGGGGGGCGGGATTCCCACAGAACGACCTTGCTG